CTCGTATCGCTTAAAACCGTGGGTTTTTGTGTGGAACGAACGAATGCTTGTATGTGCTTTGGCAATTACGGGCAGATGCATTTTTATTTTGCTCTTTATCCCATGTGTGAGGCCCGTCGAATGTGTAGTGTTCATTTTGAGTCAAGTTGTTTTCAGTGTGGAAAAATGAGAAAGATTAACCTTCACGTATCTGGTTTTTCGTTTACACTTATGAGAGATACATCTCGCCTATTCACGTACTCAAGGTCAAGCTGTTATTTTAGAGAAACAGAACGATGCTCAGAAACACTGCTGTTTTTGAAGTGGTCATATCATAAAAAACAAGATTTCCCTTGCTCTTATGAAAAATAAATGTAGGAATATCTAATAGACATCATAACCAGGGGTTTAAAGGGATAGTTCACCCAAAAATGAAAATTCTGTCGTTAATTACTCACCCTCATGTTGTTCTAAACCCGTAAGATCTTCGTTCATCTTCGGAACACAAATTAAGATATTTTTGATGAATTCTGAGAGCTCTCTGACCCTCCCATAGACAGCAATGTAATTACCACGATCAAGGTCCAGAGACGTAGCAAGGAGATCGGTAAAATAATCCATGTGACATGGATCAACTGTAATTTTACGAAGCTACGAGAATACTTTTGTACGCAAAGAAAACCAAAATAATGACTTTATTCAACAAATCGTCTCCTCGGCATCAGCCGCTTGATGCACCTGACACAGAAGAGCATACGCTGTTTATGTTCAGTGGATACTCTCCAAATTGGCGCTACGGTGATGCGGAGGAGACGAATTGTTGAATAAAGTCGTTATTTTTGTTTTCTTTGCGTACAAAAAGTATTCTCGTAGCTTCGATTATTTTACCGATCTCCTTGCAACATTTCTGGACCTTGATCGTGGTAATTACATTGCTGTCTATGGGAGGGTCAGAGAGCTCTCAGAACGCATCAAAAATATCTTAATTTGTGTTCCGAAGATGAACGGAGGTCTTACAGGTTTAGAACGACATGAGGGTGAGTAATTAATGACAGCATTTTCATTTTTGGGTGAACTTACCCTTACCAAAAAGTAGTATACTTCAAGTTTATTTTAGTAAGTATACTTAAGTAAAGTTCAAGTATATTTTTTAAGTATACTTTATGTAGCAAGTATACAAATATCAGTGTACTAGTAGTATACTTGTAAGTGTACTATTTCAATACTCCTTGGGACTAAATTGGCCCACTTTCTAGTATATAAAAGTATAACAGTAGTTTTCTTTAAGTGAACTTTACATCATACTTTAAGTATACTACTATGTCCCTATTTAGGTATTAATTTGTATATATTTTGTTACATGAATATCTGAACATAGAAAAAAACATCAAAAGAACAGGGTATCTGCTTATAAACAAAAACATTTTATTCTAGCTTCATGCATTCTTTTTTTAAACACTTGAATGTGGATAAGTTTCATAAATAAAAAATAAAGAAATAAACAACATTTTGAACAAAAAGCTAAAAAAAGACTATGAATTGGATTCAGAATGATAATCAAAACGTAGATAGAGTCGATCAACACCCCAAAGCTTGACAGTCATTATTACCTCTTCATTGATCGACATTTTATTCTATTATGTTACACAGTTTTGATGCTGTTTTATGTCTGATGATCGTGTTAGAATACATGTGGAAGCATCTGTTGTTTCGGTTTCTTCTTTACTTGTGTTTTTTGGAAATTTTGTACAGAAGATGTGTACTAGCGGCCCCTACTGTATAACAATGAAAACACGGATTCTAGGAGCACAATTATAGCTAAAATATATTTAGACTTTTTCTAAGTATAAGTCAAGTATACTTAAATATCATTTTAAGTATATTTCTGAGAAGTGCATAAAGCCCATTTCTGAGAAGTACATAAAAAGTAGACTAAAAGTATACTTTCCTATTTTTAGTTTAAAAGAAGTAAGATACTAATAGCACACTTGAATAAACTTCTTTTTCGTAAGGGAACCCTTTAACAGTTAAAATTTCTCACAAAATTCTCACTTTTTGTAATGAAAACCTATGGCTACAGCTACACGAAGCCAGAGCTTTCCCTATCCGATCTTTTTTTTCCCCTCGTCTCAAGAAATATCTGCATGTGTACACACAAAACCGACACAAAACGATGTAAAAACGGAGAAGAAGACTTGGACTATGCGCATAAACCTAGCGCGCGGTATTTAAACGAACATGGAACAATACATTTATTAATCTGTGTTAATGTTAAAAAGACAATCGTTCAGTGTTTGTTCATGTTGTTGTTGCTGTTACGTGACGCCGAAATGTCTAACTAGGGGTGAGACGTGGGGTGATGACATCATTGTTTCACAAAATATACGGATTGGCTGTCCACACGAAAACGCAAGGATGTTGTTTTCAGATTTATCCACTCTGGGACCCGGTTTAAAAAAAATAGCGGTTTCACTCTCCCAAAACACCGGATCCGTCTGGACGAAACGCCAAACCGATACAAAATGTTTGCGTTTACAGCTAAACGCGTCTCCGTGTGGACGGGGCCTATATTAACTTTCTTTGTTAAAGTCACTTAAAACATACACTACCATTCAAAAGTTTGGGTTAGTAAGATTTTTAAATGATTGATTGATTGGTTGATTGAAAGAAATGAATTTGATTTAGAAAGGATGCATTAAATTGATCAAAAGTGACATCATTTCTGAAGGATTGTGTGACACTGAAGATAATGGCTGCTAAAAATTCAGCTTTGCATCACAGGAATAAATGCATATTAAAATAAAAAAAGCTGTTTAAGTGGTAATAATATTTCACAGTATTGCTATTTTACTGTGTTTTTGAGTAAATAAATGCAGCCATGGTTAGCATTAGAAACTTCTTTTAAAACCTTAAAAAGAATCTCACTGACCACAATCTTCTGAACTTAAATGTATACCTATAAAAGTTTGAATTTAGCCAAGGTTTTAAGTTAGGTTATAGCATAAATCATTATAATTTCTTATTTTAATTGCAACCAGTCATGCAATTTTTTGAAGGCCAGCAATAATGATTTTCCATTTTGATTTCACAATATTATTATTTTTATACACGTGACAGACAATACACTTTTTGAAGATTATTGGGTAAGTACACCTTCATATCTTTCCTGATTTATTTGGTAATTAGTATACACCAACCAGTTAAAACACAGTTGAGAAATAACTATTTCCAGGCTGGAAAAAACCCCCCAAAAAACCTAAGATGATTTATTTGTTATTTAGCTTATTTAAGCTGGTCAACTGAAAAATGCTAAAACCAGCAAACTGACCAGCTTGACCAGGCTTGGAGAAAAAGACCTGCCAATCACCTTAGGCTGCATCTTAGGCTGTTTTTAAATATAATATATCGTAAATTAAATACATTTCATAATTTGTGTTGACTCTATAAAAGCAAAATGATCTCAAAATAATAAGTGCTTATGCTAATATTCTCCGAAGTCCCACTTTGCCTATGGTATATAATTTTTGGCGGGCATAAAAGGCACCTGTTTTGTAGAAAGACCCCCTAAAGTTCCTCTGTCTGTGCCCCGCTGCGCTGTGCGTCTCATACAAGTGTATTATCACCCGGCCAGCCACCACTCTTCCCTTCATTTAGACTATCGATCCTTGTTTTTTCTCGTTCTCAGCGCTTTGTGTAATCGAATAGATCCAACACCAGCTCTCTGCTGCTGTCTTATAGGACCAGCGTCGAGCAGTCGCAGTCTATTAGCGAATATGAATAATTAATCAGGCATTGCTAGATGGGAAAAGGATATGCATATACAGAATCCATATTAATTATGATGTATTGTGTCGGATTATTACGGCACCAATAGGATGACTTTCCTATAATAAGTGCACTTTGAAGTTTAGCTGTGCATCTTCTGGTAATATGACGTTATGCATTGACAGAATGTTTACTTGACACAAAAGGACAGTAGGGAACGGACCGTAGAGATATGAATGACAATGCAGCTGATTAAATACAGGTGCTATTTCATGAATGGGGTACACAATAGGATTTGCAACTGTCTTTTTTAAGAAATGGTCAGTAAATCAAGCTACTTAACCACCAATGTTAATTGTCAACTTAATTTTTTTGAATATTATAAACGTAAATTTGTTTTTGCAAATCAAAATACGAATATCTACAGTTTAATTTTTTTTCTTGCAATTGTTGTTAATTAAAAATCTTTCCCCATAATATTTAACCATTGATTATAGCCATTCAACATTACAGTATAAATGAGCGATATCAATTGTAACATTTAGTAGACTTTAAAAAATAATAACTTTTTAACTTAGTTAAATTTAACTTAAACCCATTATAATAAATGCTCTTCAGCAAGTTGGACATATACAGAAATTGAATAAAGTTATCAAACACTAAATTCTAAATTAAATCTAGATCAATTAAAGATATGTATCCAAAAGTTATTGATTTCCTCTTTTTTCTTTTGTTCTCTGATTAACCGACATCACAGCAGCTATGTTATGAGTTTTTTTGGCTGCTATTACTTTAAGAGCTGCCGCTGCTGAATGTGACTCGGATCTGACACGCATCGTATTTTCTCACAACCTCTCATATATTATTGCACTTTAAATATTTAAATATTTATTTCTGTGACCCGCTTTTATTGTATTTTGTAGAAATAAAATATATACAAATTTAATAAAAATAACTGACAAGGAAGAAAACTTGTGAGGAACATCCTCCAGCTAGCGCATACAGTATAATTTAATAAATTCGTTCAAGGTCCAGAAAAGTACCAAGATGATCGACAATGTAGTCCGTGTGACATCAGTGGTTCAGCTGTAAAGTTACGAAGCTGCGTGAATTCTTTTTTGCGCAAAGAAAACAAAAATAACGACTTTATTCCACATTTTCGTCTCTACTGCATCACTTGTGGACGCGCACTCATGACAGTACCATGACGCAAGCGTGTGGCGGCGCTGACCCAGATCCGGCGTAATGACGTCATCATGCCGGATCTGGATCAGCGCCGGCGCCGTCACACGCTCGCGTCATGGTACTGTCGCAAACGCGCGTCCAAAAAAGTATTCTCGTAGATTCGTAACTTTACAGTTGAACCACTGATGTCACACGGACTACTTTGTCGATCGATGAACGAAGATCTTATGGTATTGGAACAACACGAGGGTGAGTAATTAATGACAGAATTTTCATTTTTGGGTGAACTAACCCTTTAATTTGAGCCAATGTAATCCTGCCACATGGTATTAATGGTAAGACGGCCTAATTTGATGTTTAATTATGTATAATGAATTTAAGGACTTTAAATAAGAATCAATTCGATATGCATATAGTGATGCAATCAGTGCATGACACACTTTTTATGGCTATAGCATTGGGAGTTTAATTCGCTACGGGAATTTAACTATGTGCCTGACTAAACAGATGATTGTTCAGTCTAGACTTAAACGAAACCGTCTGAGTGTTAGGAGCAATGGAAGAAAATGTTCTTCATCCTTTCCACATGAAGATGTTCTTGGCACTGAGATGTTTTAAAGAGAGATAATATGTTGATCTGTAGTCCATTAAGTGCTTTAGATGTAGAAGCATTCATACAGACAGATAACCAGTGATGATAATAGGATTGGACCATCATATAGGATAATACGATAGGATTGATGCAATCATATTTTCTGGTTATACCTCTGAACAAGCAGCATCTTAATTATGGAAATGACATACCGTGAGCCTCAAACACCATCGTTTCCTCCTTATGTAAATGTTGTGCGTGCAAAAGACCACTGAAAAAGAGGTGAATCCCAGCATAACACCAACTGTGACGTTACAGTCGGGATCATTAATATTTATGCCCCCAACATTTGCATAACGTATACCAGCCCATGTTCTAGGCCAGCCGGACCTGCACAGCCGAATCATCGATGCAGTGTTGCCAGATATTGCTATTAAAACAAACAAAAAACGATAAATAAATAAAAATAAACCAAAATGATTTTTGAAATCTTTTGCAATTAAGATAAGATAAAGATATCGCTGACCCTAAACCAAAAACGCTTATAAGAGCTGGATCTGGCAACACAGAGGCTGCATCTGCTCCCTCACTCATAACTGTCTCTCACGGATGCTAAACATTCTTGCAAAATCTGTATCTTCGTCTGATACAGGCTCAAACATATAAGGTTGGATGCCCAATCTCTCCATCGTTCACGCCGGACAGTAGAAATCTGTTTGTTATGTGAGCTATTATTATTCATGACCCTTCCAAATAAAGTAATAACAGACCGTTTCATTCTAGGGACAAATCCGAGGGTTGTAAATGGACATGTAAAACCGTTTCTGGAGAATTTCTGTCCTTACCTAAGCCACATACCTTCTATGTAGATATTGGAGAACAATTTAAAATATTGTATCAATGCAAACTGTATCTATGGCACCTTTAAATTAAAATCAATATAGAATTTATTAAATTATATATAATTCGTAACTTTACAGTTGAACCACTGATGTCACACGGACTACTTTGTCGATCGATGAACGAAGATCTTATGGTATTGGAACAACACGAGGGTGAGTAATTAATGACAGAATTTTCATTTTTGGGTGAACTAACCCTTTAATTTGAGCCAATGTAATCCTGCCACATGGTATTAATGGTAAGACGGCCTAATTTGATGTTTAATTATGTATAATGAATTTAAGGACTTTAAATAAGAATCAATTCGATATGCATATAGTGATGCAATCAGTGCATGACACACTTTTTATGGCTATAGCATTGGGAGTTTAATTCGCTACGGGAATTTAACTATGTGCCTGACTAAACAGATGATTGTTCAGTCTAGACTTAAACGAAACCGTCTGAGTGTTAGGAGCAATGGAAGAAAATGTTCTTCATCCTTTCCACATGAAGATGTTCTTGGCACTGAGATGTTTTAAAGAGAGATAATATGTTGATCTGTAGTCCATTAAGTGCTTTAGATGTAGAAGCATTCATACAGACAGATAACCAGTGATGATAATAGGATTGGACCATCATATAGGATAATACGATAGGATTGATGCAATCATATTTTCTGGTTATACCTCTGAACAAGCAGCATCTTAATTATGGAAATGACATACCGTGAGCCTCAAACACCATCGTTTCCTCCTTATGTAAATGTTGTGCGTGCAAAAGACCACTGAAAAAGAGGTGAATCCCAGCATAACACCAACTGTGACGTTACAGTCGGGATCATTAATATTTATGCCCCCAACATTTGCATAACGTATACCAGCCCATGTTCTAGGCCAGCCGGACCTGCACAGCCGAATCATCGATGCAGTGTTGCCAGATATTGCTATTAAAACAAACAAAAAACGATAAATAAATAAAAATAAACCAAAATGATTTTTGAAATCTTTTGCAATTAAGATAAGATAAAGATATCGCTGACCCTAAACCAAAAACGCTTATAAGAGCTGGATCTGGCAACACAGAGGCTGCATCTGCTCCCTCACTCATAACTGTCTCTCACGGATGCTAAACATTCTTGCAAAATCTGTATCTTCGTCTGATACAGGCTCAAACATATAAGGTTGGATGCCCAATCTCTCCATCGTTCACGCCGGACAGTAGAAATCTGTTTGTTATGTGAGCTATTATTATTCATGACCCTTCCAAATAAAGTAATAACAGACCGTTTCATTCTAGGGACAAATCCGAGGGTTGTAAATGGACATGTAAAACCGTTTCTGGAGAATTTCTGTCCTTACCTAAGCCACATACCTTCTATGTAGATATTGGAGAACAATTTAAAATATTGTATCAATGCAAACTGTATCTATGGCACCTTTAAATTAAAATCAATATAGAATTTATTAAATTATATATATATATATATATATATATATATATATATATATATATATATGTTATGATTTTTAAGATGTTAAATGTCATTTTTTTGTTACAATTTTTATTAGATAATGAGCCCATGGTTGTGATATCCGTTCAATTTTTTCAGCTTAGTTTTAATATATCTTTTGAACTGGACCGTGTGGAAGCTTTGCGCTATGAATATGAGATTATGTCTACAGAGTCTTTCAAAATCTTTTATTTAAAAAGAGCAGAAAACTGTACTTTTTTAATAGCAAAGCTACTATGCACTTGTAAATTTGTGAAATAATTAAACATGAAAGAATTTCATTACACATTTTAAGTAGATCTAACAGTTTGCACAAAGACAGTGAATAAAAAGGCTGTGCTTTTGTGTGATTTGGTTTACACAGGCCTCGCTTCACCCTACAGCAGACCTTAAAATTGCTTCCTGTAATCACGACAACTGGCAGGCCATTACAGCATGTCAACAGCAAAGGCTTTTAATGAATAACAAAGCTGTCGTATCCTTCTTGTTGTCACGTAGCTCCAAACACAAGGTGATTTTGGAAGCGCCGATGCCACTGGCTCAGCGATTCAGAATCCCAGAGGAAATTTTTATTGGCTTCACTTTCATTACTCAGGAGACTTCTTTGATTTCTCAGGTATGTTGTTATTGAAGTAACAACTTTGAATATCTTAGGAGAAATAAAAATAGACACATTGTTGACGAAGTAGATGTAGAGCTATAAAATTAATATCAGATCTTCAAAGGATATGATGAAATATTTTTGGGTTCATATCAGTGTATCGTTGAGATACTATTATAGATTTACCTTATATTTTCTGCGTTCATTTTAATTTTAAAGTTTTAAAATATTCAATTATTTTTAGTAAGTGTTTTATTTTGAATGTTATGTATTTTTATTTCCTGCTTTCATTTTAATTTGAAAGTTTGGTAATTTTGTGGTGTTTTGTCCTTTGCAGTTTTTGTTGTTTTTAATAATGATTTTTTATTTAAATTCATTTTAATTAGTTTTAATTTTAGCTATTTTATTACAAGTATTTTCATTTAAATGACATTAAATGAATAATAATAATAATTTGTTGTTTTTAAGATTTTTGTTCAGTTTTACTTTTAGTTTTTTTATTACGAGTTGAATTATTTTAACTACCTGAATTAAAATAAGTTAATTAAGCAACATTAAATTAATAATAATAATAATAATAATAATAATAATAATTTGTTGTTTTTAATAAGTAACTTAACTTAAAAGTTAAACTAAATGAAAATTAGAAAATATTTCAATTATCTGAGTTAAAATATTTTTTTTTGTTTAAATAACATTAAATAATTCTTATTAATAATAATAATAAATATTTATTTAACAAACAAACAAACAAACATTAATACATTATTTCACTTTAGTTAGTTTATTTTATTTCAGGTAACACTTTTTTTATGGTTTTATTTTGTATCGTGATCTCTGACTTTTGCATTGGTTTTGGTTTCATAGAACGGTTTATGGTGTCGCTAGAAAGTAAAGGATATGTTGTGCGTTTACTAGGGTCTTCTTCCCAAGAGAAACATCTCAGACTTTAGCAAAAAAGTGTTTGATATCCATTTAATCTTGTTGTTTTGAAGAAACAGCTGAGCTATTAAAGAGATCTCCTTTGTGAATTTTCTTTCCTTTGGGCTTTACCTTTAATTATTAGTGAGGAGAAGCAGCGAGGCCTGTCAGCTGGCGTCAGACGACACTGTGCTCCCGCTGCAGCTCTGCGCCATGCGGATTGAGGTCTGACCTTGGCGTGAAAAGCCTGCCTCTTACTGTCTGGATTGGCAGCTGTACCCTGAGAGGACGACGGTTCCTTGCTCTACTTGACACGTACCTAGGAAGGGTACTGTACCTCTGTCCCTGTAGTTTACCTCCTCTCTCTTTCCCTTTCTCTCTCTCTCTCCTCGGTTCTTTCACCTCAAAGGTCCCGTAGCACTATCATTAATAATGGAGAGCAGTTGGAGTGGTACGGTGTCCCCGAGAAACTCGAGCCTAGACAGTGAGCAAGTCTGGCTCCTCTACACGCATTTTTTCAAGCCACAAACTTGGAGCAGCACTTTTCACTTTCATTCACTCTGCTGAAAAGATGAAAAAAGTTGTTTTGGATGGTCTTTATTGCTCAGGGTGTTTACTGCGTCACGTTAGTTGACAGATTTCTGTCTTCGCTCCAAACAGTACATGGGGAAATTCTGCTGTAGCGCTCAGAGAAGAGTGTGAAATACAGAGAGGGCGAGAAGATGACTGATGTTTGGAGAACACAGCATCGTTTGACTGCGAGCTTCGGCCCGCACAGACCGTTTTGGAAAAAAAATATTATCCAGAAAATAAAGTTCTGTTGTCATTTACTTCTGATTTTAGAAGTAATGACTAGTTAATGACTTTTTTTTCCAAGTTTTGCTGAAGCTTGCATACATTCACAAGTTGTATGCATTGTTAATTTAGTAGCATTTATAGTTTTTTAATTGATTTCTTTTTATGTTTTAGTAAATGTATGTGCTTTTGACATTTTTATTAATTCGTTTTTTTTATATTTTCTTTAGCTTTATTTTTTTCACTTTTATTTTTAATAATTTTAGAACTTTAACTTTATAATTAATTTTTTTGAAGTTTTTGTTTAACTATTTTTAATAGTTTTAATTTTAGTTAACAATAATAATACTGGTTAAGGACTATTTTTGTTTGTTTGTTCATTTATTTATTTATCATCCACTTTTATTGTAGATTTTATTGTAGCAGATATTTTGCAAAATGATATCAGACTAAATTAGTCAGATAATTTGTTATTAGCCATCCCTTTTTCAAATAAATAAATAAAGACTCAGAAGATTATAGAGATTTATAAATCTTATATTTTAAGGAGATAATGTAAGTTTTCATATTATTTTCCAATTAATTTATTATAACAATAACAACCTTTTCATTAAGCGAGCATTCTGGGGTTACCATAGTACATATTTTTGTAAGAAGTGATGTTAATTTTTTGTTACTCAACATATTTCAGGTGTTTGAGTTGTATAAATACTCATTCATTCTTTTCACAAAGGTTCCAACTTCATATTTCAATCTCCTTGCTTGTGCATGTATTGTGAGTCAGAGCCCCAGGCTGGAGAGCTCAACCCTGATGAACTGGAGAGTATGAAATTACATTTGTAACAGATGATTATGAACATTTGGATCGCTGTCGCTCAGCCAGAGTTTTCTGCTGTCTCGTTCCCCTCCTTCGTTTCTCCTTCAGAGATCCTGACCAGATTAAAAAGGGATTTTTCTCCTAAGACGTTCAGGTGCATTGGTGGGTAGGGTTGGGTATCGTTTGAAATTGATCAATTCCGATTCCGATTCCTCTTATCGATTCCGATTCTTTTCGATTCCCAGTTCTGTCAGGACCACTATCGTCAGAATGATAGATACTTAGCATAAAGTTTGGTTTGGCGGTATGGTTCTGTTCTGGGCAAAAAACCTCCCTGCCCATCCATGCAGCCTGTCATGAATGAGCAGGGAGAGCAGCAATAATAACCCCCCCAGGGTTAACAGAACAGAACAATGCAGATATCATTAATGTACTCAATGATATTTAAGTGTAACACTTTATTCAAGATAAAGGAGTCTGATTAGCAAGGAATATCAGAAAGCTAAGTCCTGACTGTGGCAAAAGGTGGAGCTGGGGATGGAGGAGGGTAATTTGCTCCGAAGCAAGCTGAAAAGCTGCTGAATAATACTGAATAGAGCTTATATAGGAATGCCGCGATAGGTGTCGTATTCCTATAGGTAGATGTGATCAGCTGATGCAAGCTTGACTCACGTGGCCTGCCAGAACTAACGCTAAAGCTTAATTTTTGATTCCAATGTGATTACATAATGATATCAAACATTTATGCTATGTCTTTTTTTTTGCAAACCATTTATTGGAGCTGAATACCATGAACAAAAATCAACAGACTACATAACTCTTTAGGAGCTGTTTGTGTGCAAAATAGAACTGCATGATTCTGGATACATTTTTCTGGATAAAGTTTTTTTCTTCTTCTTTTTTTCCCCCAATGGAAGTTCTGGTTCTGTCGTGACTCTGAAGAAAAAAACATTAGACAACTAAACAAAATCACATGTAATTAATGAATTAATGATTAAATGGCTCACTCAAGATGTACTTGTTTCATTACTGGATGAACCAGCGTTCTTGAACGAATCTCTTGTATGATTCAAAGACAAATACATTTTAACAGCCCCTTTTCGCCACCTACTGTAACAGCTAAATCTTAATTTGAAGTGTCAAATTACTTTCAAAAGGTGATTTGTGAACTGGTGTGATCGTACGCTGCACGGACAAACCAAAATGTGATCACAACATTGATCGCACACGTCAAAGGTTGAGGAATGAAACAGACGAATCATTGTAATTTAGGAACAGAATCACGTTGGTGTTTGAATCGCGTTCGCGATCTTTAACGATCTATTAAATTAAAGGGCTTTGTCATGTTGGTGGTGACACCTTTCTTGCAACATGTTGAGCTATCACAGATATTATACTTCGCTTTTTTGGGCTTCTGATCGCAAATGTAGCCAAACTTTGGAGCGCTTAGATTAGCGAGCAAGGTCCTGGCAGATCGCTAGGTCCGGTCCTCACAGATGAATAAAAAGTGTCGATAGGCGGTATCGAAATTTTAATTTGACAACAAGTATCCAATTCTGGAATCGGAATTGATTTTCGATTCCCAACCCTACTGGTGGGTGGGGTTTATAGGTCAGGTGAAAACAGAAGCCCCTCCCATCTGCTTTAATGCACATTTTAATGCCATACTGACCCTTGAAGGTCAGTAGTTCCTCAAGTCATTTTCAATTTTCAAATAGGGCTGCACGATAAATCGCATGCGATATTTAATGCATCTTGTCAGTAAAGCAATTCTGTAATCAGCGGTAAATCTCCATCACGTGCGGGCTTTCACATTGAGCATCATTTACTACACAGAGCGCTTGTTCACCGACAAGCTGCGAAAAACATGCGCAAAATATGATCGTGGTTTTGCGCAGCTTGTCAGTGAACAACGGCTCTGTGTAGTTAATGCTGCTCCATGTGAAAGCCCACAGGTGATGGAGATTTACCGCTGATTAAAGAACCGGCTTTACTGACAAGATGCGCGTTAAATATCGCATGCGATTTATCGTGCAGCCCTATTTTCAAATAGGACGTTCCTAAGCTTATTTAGATGGCTTTAAACCAAGAATAACCTCACCTGTGATCTTTCTCTTTCAGGATGGCACTTTTTAGTGTGTTTGTATTTTCCAAAAGTGAAAAAAGTGGCCTCAGCTGCGTTTAAAGACTTAAGTCACTGCATTAGATAACAAGATATCAAACCAAGTGGCATTTAATGTACTTTAAAGAAAGATAAAACTTCATTAAAAAAATACAAATATGAAAAGTCTTATATGCTCACCAAGACTGCATGTATTTGATCAAGAATACAGTAAAAATGTAAATATTGTGAAATATTATTACACTTTAAAATAACTTTTTTCTATTTAATATATTTTAACATATAATTTATTCTTGTGATGGGAAAAGCTAAATTTTATGCAGCCATAATTCTTTGATGAATAGAAAATGTAAAATAATA